CATGGCAATGCGCCTTTTAATTTCCTGGCTGCTGGTGCCAAGACTGTTGACTATGGAGCCAAGCAAACTAAAGCTGTGTACAATCTCAATCTCTTCACCCTCCATCCTGATGCTGTATTACTGTATAATGATGACGTTTTGTATAAACTGTGATATTTGGATGGATATCTTATAGGATTAGAATATCTATTCCCATAATCACTCACTCACTGCCAATGAGTCAGAACCAATTGACTGACCCTCCAGTGGGTATTTGGAGGCTATAAGTCTCATGGAATTCTTCTCCTCTGGAGCCACTGGTGGATTTGAACCACCAGAGAGACACAGCCTTTGAGTTTGTAGCCCAACTCCTTCTAGACTACGCCACCAGAGCTCCCTACGTTCTCTAATACAGAGTTTAATAAATGAATATATAAGCTGGCATGAGGAATGTTTGAATTTTGGAAAAACTAATCTGGGATGCACATGAATGAAGCAGACAAATAACCTGATAATGGGCTTGACCTTTAAGTTTAGATGTGTGTGGTCATCAATCAGTTAGAGGCCAACTGGTTTTGAAAATGAACAAAAGAACAAAACAAAGACCAGTTGCCATTGGGCAGTTGCTTACTCATGACCACCCGCTGTGGTTCAGAGGAGAACTGCACATGACTGGACTGAAAGGTAGAAATTTGAACCCTCCAGCTGCTCTGTGAGGGAACAAAGTAGCAGCCTTAGAAACACTGTGGGATAATTCTACTCAGACCTGTCCGATTGCAATGAATTGAATAAATGTGATGTTAATGGGTGTGTGGTTTTTGTCGGCTAGTTCTCTTGACCTTCAGAAGATCACCAAGTCTTCTTCAGAGGTGCCACTAGGTGGATTTGAATCGGCAACCATCACTCAGTTTTTCACCAAGTGCTTAACTATTTTTGCCACCCATCGACCAAAGCAAACAAAAAACAATGGGAAAGAATCGATTTCTTTACAGTCGCAGGAGATCTGTGCTAGATGTAAGCTTAAATCAGCATCATGGGTATATTAATTTAGCTATTTTTGAAAAAGAAATCCTTGCACACCTACCCTTTGCCAGGCATAGTTGGGAAGATACAAAGTTTGTGGACGAGCCAGACAAACTTTCTTCTTGGGGAGATTAGTCACTTGATTATAGTGAAGCTCAAGGAAGGTTCTAGATATTCCTCCTTTCTCCCAGGTGACTTCTGGGGGAAGTGTAAAGATAGTTGAAAGTAGAGGATTATACCCGTGCCTTCGACTCGAAGAGTGAGTGGCCAAGGCTCTGGGACTCCATTTTTGGATAAATGGCCAGACATTGACACGTGGTGAGCATGGTCTGTCTGTAGCAGTTCCACAGGCTTCAGCGGTAACCAGCAAAGATGTCAATAGTTCAGGGAGACCATGCAGAACCTTCCTATTCTCTCTCTAGTTTAATGACTTTCAGGGAGGTGGAGAGACGTGGGGATGTGGTGTGGAAGCTACATACAGTGATTGAAAAAAAACTGCATAAAGATATATTTGTGAGATGAGCAATAAAAACTAATTTGTATGCAGTTTTTTAAAAATTAAAGTCATTGCCATGGAGCCAGAACTGACTCACAACTGACCAATCCAGTGGGCTTCCTGAGGTTGAAAATCACCCAGGAAAAGATTGCCCATCTTTCTCCTGCCATCTATCTCCTTATCTATCTGTCTATCTATCTACACCAAGATTTGGCAACACTTTCTTGGTTTAGGGGGACACTGAGAAGACAGGCTCCGAGGACGGTTTTCTCAGGTGCGGGATGTGTCTGAGAATAGAAGTGGGGGGTGTGGAGAGGTCTCTATTCCTCAGAAAGAAGATACGGGTTTAAAAAGGAAATGAGAATTCAAGATGAACCATCACAACATAGGTTGATAAATGCTGCCCTGGTCGTGGGTCCCCCCTGGAGAAGGATTCATTTTCTCCTCGTTTGAACAAGCCACGGCTCCAGGAAATAGCCATTAGTGGTATGAGGTCTGGTAATGAAGACATTACTTAAACCCTCCACCATCTGTCCCTCTTTAATCAGGAATGCAGTGAGAATGAATTCTATAAACACAGTGACAAGCCAGCAAAAATGCCCAATCAGGGCATTTGAATACGGCATATGTTCCTGCTGATAGCAGGAAAAGGAATTCAGTTGCACCATCGTATTTAGCTCATTGCTATTGATTTAGCTCCACCAGAAATGTAGCACTCAAAGAAACTTTGAAGATCACCTAGGTCCTCATTGTCTAAGTGAGAGTAGTGTGGACAAGAAACTATTGCACCTCCTCCAGTTACTAGCCTACCACCCTGTGTCCTCTGCCCCGGTCTCCAGGGTGAAAAATATTCTAGGTTTCTAGATAGTTTAGATGCTCATATGTGGGGATGATTTCATTGGATGCCCCTCTGATCAATTGGGCAGAGAAATCTTGAGCCGAAACAGTGGACTGGCCACTGGGGGGAGCTGTGAACTCCTTTATTATCCGTTCAAGAGTCTGTGAGAAGGGCTTCCTGGTACCATAACGATTTCCTGTGTTGCCCAAGTGGAAAGATTAAGAACACGGCTAGATGCCTGAGAGCTGGGCCGAGATAGAACATTTATTTACCTGTCTGGATAGCAATCCCCTTACACCTGTTTATGAACATTCCTTAAACCAGAGTAAGTCCTTTAGGAAGGTTGTCTGGGAAACAGTTTGCCTCCTACATTATCAAAACCTGATTTGTGTTGTGTTCCTTTGGTAAGTCAAATATGTAGTAATCTTTGAAGCCCTATCTTGTAAGCCTTGGACAGAATTTAAGGACCACTGATGTTACACATTAACAATTCATATCTATATTAAGATGGTTACAGAGAGAATTCAAAAGTTAATAGATGGGGGGAAAATCCAGAACATATAAAATATGAAATATCTTTTCAAATTTTGCCATAGTGGGTGCCTACTATGTGCCAAGGAAGATAGTGACCTTCCATATGTATTAACTCTAGTTGTCCCTACATGTTAACGTGGACAATATTGTGCCCAGCTAGATGGCTGAGAGCTGGGCTGAGATAGAACATTTATTTACCTGTCTGGATAGCAATCCCCTTACACCTGTTTATGAACATTCCTTAAGCCAGACTAAGTCCTTTAGGAAGGTTGTCTACAAATTAACATACAATGGATTAAATGTTGGACTGGCAACCAGAAGGTCAGCAGTTTGAAACCATGAGTCACTTGGTGAGAGAAAGAGGAGACATTGTCCTTCGGTAAAGACGTCCAGCCTTGGAAACTCTGTGGGCATCTCTTCTCCGCCCTGGCCAGACTCCATGAGTCAGAATTGCTTTGAGCAAGTTGGGTTCAGGTTTGGTGGCACAATGGTCAAGTGTCAAATTGCGAACTGAAAGGTCAATATTAGAACCCACCAGGGGGCTGCTTCTGCAGGAGACAAGTGTGGGTGATCTGCTCCCATTAGGATTGTTGCTGTGTACCGTCCGGCTGGAACGGACCCGTAGATAACCCTCCAGTGAGTTTTCACAGGCAGTTAATTACATGAGAGAGATTGTCCATCCTTTTCCTGTGGGGAAGCTGGTGGATTTGAACTATGTGCCTTTGGGATTTCAGCCACCAGAGCTCCCATAAGGATTAAAGTCCAGAAAATCCTATGTGACAGTTGTACTATATTTAGGAATGGACTCACCAGCATGCAAATGTAGATGAATGAAAACATTTGAGGGATGTTCAGAAGGTTAACATCTTGTCAAGTGCAAGTGTAGGATGAATACATGTTCAATGCATCGTTCAACCCTTTAAGTAATGAGGAGCAGAGTAAGGGGTGAAATAACTAAAACAGAACCTTTTGTAAAACTGGCTGTAGGTATATCAAAAAAAGGAGTCTAGCATAGATAGAGTGCTGTGTCAGATACAAGACTGCTTAATGTCCACTAGATATTTAATATAACTTTTGGGGTTATCTTTTCTACCAGAGAGAAATCTACAAGTTAACATGCATCTACAGAGTCAGAGCTCTAATCAAATAAAATAGAATAACTTTAAACACAGGAAATTCTGTGAGAGAATGAAATACTCTTTGATTGGAGATCTGAACAAGAGCCTAGTATGACATTCAGACCAAACACCGCATTTATTATTTTTTTTAGATTTCCAAGTTTTGGGTTTAAGGATGAGAGGTCCAGAGAAGTTAAACCCATAGTCAAAGTCACAGAGCCTTGAAGTTTCAAAACCAGATCGATCCATGCCCTAAATTTTTGAGATTTTTCTTTTCTGCAACACAGCATTGCCTTGTAAACGAGTCACTTAAATAGTGCAGCAAGAATTGGGTTTTAGCAGTGCTTAGATGGTTTTAAGACCCTTTCCCCAGTTGATTCTACTTATATTGACACAGCAGCAATTTCTGCCTTCTTTCCATTTTTCCCTTCTTACTTGAAACCTGGCAACCTTAAACCAGCCGGCCACAGCTCCCCAGTCTTTTCTCAGCAGGTAGCCATCAACTATAAAAAGAGAATGCAGTCGTTCCAGTCTGTGTTTTCAGTTAGACTCCTCTGGTTTCCTTGCAGTTGGAAAGAATTTGCTTTAATAATGAAATTAAGGCATTTCTTCGGATAGTATTTCTCAATGCCATGATTTCTCCTGCATCCTAATTAGAAGCAATTTTATCATTTGTATCCTTAATCCTTCATTAAAAGTACATTTACAGCTTTGCTGTTTCCTGACAGATGCCCTGTGAGTAGCTGGGGGTATCAAAAGAAATAGAGGAGTGCCTTTGGGGATCAACATGCCATCTGAGTGAAGAGAGGCAGGGGTAATGGCTAGAGAGGAAATGCCCGCAGCAGGGTGGACCGGAGTTAGCAGTTGGGTGGGTGGAGAGAGAAATGGAAGCTTCAAAGAGCAGGATGTATTTCAAGTGGTCCATTGGAGAATGAGCTGGAATTCTGCAGGTGGGTTGGGGGGGAAGTGAAGATAACCAATTGTAACCTACTATTCAGTTCACTGAAAACCAACCAGAAAATGACCCCTTCCAAGCTTCACTGAGGATGACATGTAACCACTTATTGGAAATGCGTTCTTTCAGCTCCAATCAATCATCTCTCTGGTTTCTTTTTTTGAACAGTCTGGAAGAACCTCTTCACACACAGACACACCTCGCCAACACCAAATAAACAACAATCCTCTTGTTTTCTTCTAGGAAAAGAGAACACTGCTAGAAAGAAAAGTGTCTTTGGAAAACAAGCTGCTGCAACTCAAACCCAACAACACATATGCCAAAAGGTTTGCAAATCAGCCCCTGAAATGAAGGGCAGCCCTTGCCCGCTGACCTCTATACCTCATGTGGATAAAGACTTTGCAACCCACAAAAGAGTAGGGCATCTAAAAATGTACCAGGAAAGCAGATTCCTGGTGTTCATGTCAGTGGGATCAGGGGACAGTGTTCTCCGAGGTGTCAGGGAACTGGTGAGGGGTTAATCCTTCTCAGAAGTGAAGGAGCCTGCCTGTTATAGCCTCCCTACTGTAGAGGTTACTGTACAGATCTCTGTTTTCTATGATGCTTCCTTTTTGTTGTCTGTAGCTGATCTCTGATAAATCCTGCATCGTTAGTCATCCCTGGTGGCGTAGTGTGTGATGTGCTGGGCTGCTAACTGAAAGTTCAATGGTTTGAATCCACCAGCTGCTCTTTCAGAGAAATGTGGACAAAAATTTACAGCCTCAGAAACCTGATAGAGGGTTGCTTTGAGAGCAATTCAACTGATGGTAGTGTTTTGGGTTTTTTGGGGAGAGAGGTGTAAAAGTAATATTATCCTGACTCCCGTGATCCTGCTGGACAGAGTAGAAGTGCCTGTAGAATTTCCCAACCTATGATCTTTAGCAAAAGAGTTCCTCATCTGTCTCCCAGGGAGCAGCTGGTAGATTGGGAACTACCAACCCCTTTCATTAGACACCTCAAGCGTTATCTTCCTTGGCCCAGGCAATCATAGCACATATATATTTAACAATACTGAAATACCACCGAGTTATTAATTTCCCCATCTTCCTTCCTCTGTGCATGCATACAACCACAGAAGATGGGCTTGTAAGACAGTTGGGCCCAACTCTGTAGAGAATGAAGGAACTAGTGTGGAAAACATCCTTATTTTGGATTAAATGACAAATATTTATTAGTTAATTTTATTTAAATACTTGGTTTAACTTCACCTGTCCTTTCCTTAAAAGAAACGTCTTCCCAGACAGACTGGACTGTTGACTTGTACATTTAACTTTGCACTAAGCATCCAGACAGTCTGAATTTGATTTAAATATAGATAATAGATATAGATTATATAGATGATAGATAGATAGATGATAGATAGATAGATAAATAGATAGAATACCATGTTGTCAGTCTTTGAGTCAATAGTGCAAGTGTTTTAAAAGGCAAACAAATATTTTCTCTCTGATCTTTTATGTATGAGTAGTTAAAGGGAATTCTCAGAAAGCTCTTAAGGAGTTGTTACAGATGTTTTGAGGGAAATGGATGCTCTGTTTCCAGAAGGGTATTTGGACATCCAAGCTCATGCAATTCTCAGATTGCAGTCATTCTAAATATCTGTCTTACTACTTTCCCCATGAACAATGAGTGCAGATGCTCATCTAAATGAGAAGAAACTAAAATAGCTTGCCTGAGAGACTTGCTTGATGCAGGAGACGCTTGGTCAGGTTACCTTAAGGAAAGGGGCTTCTTGCTAGGTTAAGACTGGGTTGACGTGAGAACAGAGGAGATGAAGCTAAGGAAAAGACCAAAGGGCTATCCTTTAACGTATGAGTTTTGAAACTAGGTTGTGTTGTTACTTACTGTGATCTATTCCCTTTTTACCTTTATGCTGCCAAGTAGCTTCTTATTTCTGTATTTTCTTTTTAAATTCTAGAAGGAAGACTCTGATTGACTTAGGACAACTTCTGAGACTGGTGATATTGACCAACCTAAACACTGTCAGCCAAACAGTGGCCTTTGGCGGAAGGCCATGTCCAGTCCTATTGTCAGCCTCTTGTTCAAGAAACAGCCCAGGGCGGCTTCCTTGAGCTGCTGTACCTCACAGCATCTTTTTTTTTTTAAGTATGATAGTAGAGCAATTCAAAGGTGCTATGACACCCAAGAGCCAAGGACAGTCTGGTGATGTCCTCTGAGTAAATCCAAAGGTAGATTTTTTGAGCATCCTGAGTCTGAATGAAGAGCTAGCCCTCCATGAGCTCAGTCTCCTCAAGCACACCACTGATAGGCACTGAGTAGCAGAGCTCATGAGGGCATGCTCCTTATCAAGATGCTATTCTATTACTGTCTTATGTTGGTGAGACGATGTCATTGTTTTGGAAAGGTTGAGAGCAGAATTACCTATATCCCTTGTTGAATAAGTCAGATATTAAGGGACCCGAGAGCCCTCCACTCTTCCAGTGGTGATCTGGGGCAGGATCAATGATGAAGAGTTGAAACAGATGAGGGAAAGAACAGATTAGAAGTGATATATGATTGAGTATTATGGTTAGCACAGGAATCCAGAATTAAGGTTGCACAGAGAAGTGTACTCGGGTGGGGGTGGGACGTGGGAATTGTATGCTAATGAAGGAATTTTCCCCCCCCTCTCTCTTGGGAGGGGGAAGCGAGCTGCTGGGGAGGGGTGGGCAGGGAGAAAAGTGCGGCAATGAATGAGTGGAAATCCAAAACCTCTGTTAAAAAAAAAAAAAAGAGTTGAGATTCTCCTTTTTGAGTCCTCTTCTCTCTCCTTTTATTAACGTTTCCCAGTTGCTGGCTTCTTCAGCTCCAAGTCTGGGTCATCTGAGGAGGAAAGAGAATTCTGGAACTCACCACTGTAGCCTGTGTGCCCTCGGACCCCAAGATCTAAGTCCTTTCCCCTTCTCTCAGTCTTTCAACGTCTTATTATGTTTATTTATATAAAAGATCTAGGATCGGGGTTGTATTTAGGCAAAAAAGATAAGGCAAAAGTACATCTATTCAATCTTCCTAGAAGCAGACTTTCTTCAGTGTTACTTTGGTTACAGAGTTTCCTTGATATTTTTATCCCATTGCTTGTACAAGGACCACATTGATCAAAGTGTATACTGAGGCATTAGACGGCAGAGCATGAATCCTACGTAACTACACAGATTTTTCTTAGGAAGCCTGGCAGCTCTTTTTTCTATACTTGATTTTTTTGTTTGCTTTCACTTGTTTTATTTCATGTTTGCTGTTGTGTCACTTTGTCTTTGTCAAGACAGAATATTTTAACTAAAATCTGAATCATAAAGCTTCCAGGAAGCTCAAGGGGCAGCTTTAGGCAGATATCATCTCTCCTTAAAGGACCTTAATGATGACTTGATTTCATTGTTTTTTTGTGCTTGTTTTTTTTTAATTTCTTGAACAATTCTGATAGACATACTCTACTGTTTCCTTTGGCTACCTGTTCTGGCATAATAACACATTAAAACAAAAAATACCTTTTCAAAAGTAATTCTAAAAGTAGTTTTTATCCATTATGAGACCCATTTCAAATGGATAGTGACCTTCGTGTAATATTTGTAGAGTAGCTGGGGAAACTCTGAGCTGGGTGTTTCTAGTGGCATAAAATATACTCTCTACTTTGCCCCATCTAAACCAACTGCTTTTCTCTCCATTGTCTTGAGTTTTGAGTCATACTGGGCTGTACTCAGGACCATTCTGAATACTGATCTGTAGCAGTTCTCAATACTTTCACAGTTTAGAGATAGTGAAGACTGGTCTGCCTTTGCAAAGCATCCTGCATGCTGTCACTATTTCCCAGGAAGTCCCGTCCAATCTCTGAGTAAGTCGCTGCAGTATTCCCCTGCTTTCTCCTTCACTGGGGAACTTTTGAGTCTTTGAATTAAAAGTCAGGTGGGTCTCTGTGTGTTCTTTGCGTTGCTTTGATCCACATTGCCCTCAAGTCATCTTCTCCGATTGCCAGTGTGGCTTTTCTTCTAAGGCTTGGCAGGACCCCCGTCCTCTGCATTTTTTAGCATTTTTTAGTCTGTCTTCTCAGAGTTCCAGAAACCACCCCTAGATCCCAGCTGTAACCCTTGGTTGATACTAATCTCCCCCAAGCATTGAGACTCTTCCACTGCAGATCCCCTTCATACGCCATGAGGGGCTTCCACACACCTACTGGAGTGTTTCAAGCTTCCAAAGGCTGGTGTTCCCTTGAAGGGTTCCAGGTTCCTCTACTTCTTTTGGGTCCAAAGCCTCACCTGCTGAGGGTCCTGAGATGCCCTCAAGCTCCTGAAGACTTGACAATGAAGCTTGTGAGCCACTGACCAGGGGTGACGAAAATCTCATGTGTTGAAGCAGCTAGCCCTTGACCTTGACTTTTAGTACTGTAAGAAGGTCTACGTTGTTGCTGTTGTTACCTTAGTGGCATGGAAACAAAATATTTTCATCTTGTGGAGTTGTTGTTGTTGTTGTTGTTATGTGCCCTTGCATGATCTTGACTCCTAGTGACACCATGTGACAGGGTAAAATTGACCCACAGGACTTTCTAGGTTGTCATCATTTTTGAGGTCACATGTCTTGGCCCCTGGCCCCACAGAGTCACTGGGTGGGTTTGAACAACCAACTTTTCAGTTTATAGCCAAGTGCTTAACCGAGTTATGATTTCTGTTATACTGAGGCTTAGGAAAGTTGAGTGACTTCCTTCAAGTCACACACGTGCCAGGTATGGCGGTCTTGCCACAATGTATGGTGTCCATGACTCTCATGATACTGCCAAGAAGATAAACAGCTGAGTTGTTTAAACAGACAAGCTCAGTGGAATTTTGGGAAATAATTACTAATATAAATAACCGAAATGCAGAGCTGGCCCATCTTTTTTCACAGTGGTCCACAGAGACTGAAAATGTTAGTGGGAATTTCATTTCTTCTTTTCCCTTCATGCCTCATTTCTAGGTATTGGGGTTACCTAAAGCAGTAATCCACCACACAGTCCAGTTCTCTATCACTGGGCATCGGTTTCTGGTTGTGTGTACAAGCCCTGCTCTTGCCCCCATGCTGTGATCCTGGCTCTCCACATGTCGTAGTCTGTGCATTTAGGTGGATGCTGGACCTGGGTGCATGTGGGGAGGTGAAGAGTTAGAAGTATAAATGCTTCACTCAACTCGGCATAACCTAAGTCAACTCCTGACCGGGCTGAGTCAGAGGTGGCCCAGACGAAGCTTTTTGCCATGAGTTGATTTTTCTCAATCTGGTCCTTAGCTGAGCAAATCATAGAATGGTTTGGGGCTGTTCCTCTTTAGCACGTCTGCATGGCTGGTGGGATGCTGGGCCCCTCCTCATGCCCTGTGTCAGTGCAGTGAGGAGAGAGCCTGGCCTACTGACAGTAAGAAGGGACTGGTTAACTCCTTAGAAAAATAACTTTGTTTGTTTGTTTCCAGTTGCCAGGATCTTCAGAAGGAGATTTCCACTCTCCAGGAGCAGATCTCTCATCTGCAGTTTGTGATTCACGCCCAGCATCAGAACCTGCGTGGCATCATCCAGGAGGTCAGGCGGACCCCTTGCATGTCTCTACAAGAGGATGTCTTTGCCCTGATGGCCGAGCTTGATATGTATTGAGAATATTCTTCCTACTGGGCAGTGTCTGCCATCCCTTAATCCCCCTGTGCAACATGGCTCTGCTTTTAATGCCGTTTCTTGTCTCAACACCATTGTGGAATGTTCTCAGAAGAGCTGCCTTAGCAAATTGTTTTTAACTGCTCTTTAGGTGTTTGGGTGATTTAAAAAATATTATGGGCTTGCATATAATAATTCATATGTGTTGTGGTTCATACATGTGCATGTGCTTTATATAATCATTCATATAATATTTTCTATAGTGAACCTCCATTGCTCTATGCCTATTATCACCCCATCTTTTCAAGCCCCCATTGACCCTTTCCTGTTACTTCACCCCCCTCCACTAACCTCTACTGCCTGGTGATTTTTCTCCTTCCCCTTTTTCTGGCCACCCTCTCAGCTTTCCCTTTTGAACACTTATAAACACATCTTACTCCGTTATCTTCCTCGTTTGTCATTGTTGTTGTGGACCGTAGAGTTGGGATCAACCTATAGCTGATCCTCTGGTGGGTTTTCAGAGGCAGTTAATCGCGTGGGAGGAGACTGCCCAACCGTCTCCCATGGAGCCGCTGGTGGCCTCGAACTGTGTGCCTTAGGGATTGCAGTGCAGCTTCTCACCACTAGGACACCAGAGCTCTCTAGCTGCCTTAGATAATATTTGTCCTTATATAACTAAAATATATCTTTCAGGAAGATGTCCGCTAGTCTCTCCCAAGGTATATAATATTTTTTGAGAGCATTCTGACCTAAGTAAAGGTCCTTGTTCATTAGCAGAACTTGTAGTCTAGGTGCTGGGGCTCTTTCAGGGGGGAGAAATGGTTTTTATAAACTTGTCAATAGTAAATTTAGAAGGTGTTATGAAGTAACTTGGCCCTTCTCTGGAAAGAACCTGGCAGGTGATAAAGAAGAGGAAATTGTGTAGCAGCCAGATAGTAGATTATATGAGAAGTTAAGATCTACTTCAAGCTACTAATTGGACATTGTGTGTCTGTTTTAGATTTAAAATCAAATCTCCACTCCATTTTCCCCCTACCAAATATGTTTCCAAAAGGAGGCCTCCACAGTACCTCTGTAAGGCCATCCTGGCCTAAATGCAGCCTCAGTGCTGGATTGTCTGAGGTTTTATCGGAGGATTAAAGAACTGAGCTATGCAATTTGAGAGCCAGAAAGGACCTTAGCACCATCACACACTTCCATTTCACAGAGGAGAAGACCGAGGCCCAGTGTTGATAAATGACAGTGTTGGTTGGTCTTAGAACCACATGTCCCTCTTTTCACAGACTTCACTCTACCTCCCAACTCGACTTCCTCTCTTGGCACATCATTTCCTTCAAACGAGGCAGGATCTCCTTGTTATGGCTCTGGGGGGTGCAATGGCTTCAGGAAGCCTCTTCCTCCCGGAAGTAGATCACATTGCTGGGAAACTCAAGACTCAAAGCGCTACCGCTGTTTGATTTCAATAGACTCTCTGAAGATCCGAATGTGTTACAGTGCTGTCTGCGTGCTCATGTCCCCTACCCCAGGTGTTCATCTGGCCTGCTCTCTGCGGCAGGCTTCTGCGTGTGCTAGCGCTTGGGGATTTTGTTTTTCTATTTTATGGAATTTATTTTAACTCAGAACTGAGCTCACTATTCCCTGCTGCCTAACAAGATTTTTCTCAAGTGTGTCTCCTCATTCCTAGATGGAAGGTTTGAAACATAATGTGAAAGAACAAGATAAAAGGATTGAAAGTCTGAAGGAAAAAGTTAACATACTTGAAGCCCAGGTAAGGAGGAAGTCTGTTGAACATGTCATTGTGAGCATCTCTGTGTGTGTGTGTGAGAGTGTGTGTGTGTGTGTGTGTGTGTGTGTGTGCCCCTGTGCACATGTGGAAATGTGTCTGTGTGAACATATGTGTGCATGTGTCTTTGTATAAGTGAGTGTGTGTATAAATGCGCTTCTATATGAGTTTGCATGTGTAAACGTGTTTTGCGATGCTGTTGAATTGGTTCTGACTCATCCAGGCTGTATGTACAGCTGAGCGAAACCCTGCCTGCTCCCACGCCTTCTAAACCGTCATTGTGACGTTTGAACCCACTGTTGCAGCCACTGCGTCAATACGTATCATCAAGAGTGCTCCTCTTTTTAGCTGAGTCTCTACTTGACCAAACATGATGTCCTTCTCTGCAGACTTGTCCCTTCTGATAATGTGTCTACAGGTGGGAGACAAAGTTGCCATCTTCCCTTGAAGGGGTATAGTGTCTGGACAGGGTCCAAGACAGACTTATTTGTCCTTCTTGAAGTCCATGTTATACTCAATATTCTCCAACACTGTCATTTAAACACGGCAGTTCTTTTTCATCAGTTCTTCTTCATTTCAGTCTCCCTATTCATCATGAGGCTTTTACATGCACAAGAATGGTTGGAAATTCCATGATATGAGTGTGTGTGTGTGTGTATCTATATCTATCTCGTGGCATTAAGTTTGAATGGTCATTTATGTTAGTTATAGCCATTGTCACAGTTAGTATATGAAAAGTTCTCTATAGTCAATTTTTATAAACACATATGTGTATACACATGCATATTTACAAGCACAAAACAAAAACATTATATATATAGTATATATAATATATTATATATAAATTATATATATAGTTGTTATGTGCCAAAGTGTTGGAACTGATTCATAGATGAACCTCTAACCTTTTAAGTTTTTGTAGCCGTTTTTTAAGTATCAATTTTTTTTGCCTAGCACTAAGACAATGACTTATGTTTTCTTCTACTTGTGCATATCTTTTATCAACTTAATTTTCAGTTTCTGATGTTTCTCTTCTAGTCCATGCTTTTCTCTGTCCTTCACTAATGATCCGCTCTTATGGAAATACATCTTCAGAAATTATGCCATTTTCTAGACTTGGAAGGTTACCCTACTTTATATAATCACCATCATCTTTTAACATTTCATCTTTTAACATTTCATTTCATTCCAGGAGTGTACTGATACACGTGTAAGAGCCCCAAATTAGCTTCTTTTGGAGACCTGTGTCAATAGACTGTCCTCAGGTAGAGTCAGTGTAACGGCAAACATATAGTGACCAGTGATTTATAGTTTTGTAAATGAATAATTCTGTAAGACTCATGCATATTAAATAAATCAAATAGTGTTAATACCTTCCTAACATAAAGGTAGCATCTGTACTTAGATTGTCTCATTAAAGGGGAAGCAAGATCTTACCAAAGCCCATGAGCAGAGAATACTGTTTTGTGCTGTCACGTCCCAAGGACTCTGAGTGCCAGAGTAGGTCCCCTCGATGGGGGACTCCTAGACCGATTGTCAGAGCTTTCCTCTTGGACTGCTAGTGAATTTGAACCACTAAACTTTTGATTAGCAGTTAGCACTTAAAAATTATACCACCAGGGCTCCTTGATCTAATAATACATAGCTAATCTAGCCAATTAACCAAAGTTACTTTAAAATCCAAATAAATGAAAAGAAATCCATTCTAACCTGATGATAATTCTTATGCTCTTCTATGATTTAGTTGTTAACAACTTGAGGAACTAGGGTTACTCTGGGAAGAAAAAACCAGAACAACTTTGAGGTGATTGTCCAGTCACAGAATATTCACATAGCCCTGGTGTACAAGATGCCGTACCGCGGTCACTTTTGGTTGCTGTGAGGCTGAACACTGACACTGATGTGTCCAATGCGTTAATGGTTGGCTACCCAATGCAGACAGAGAGTGGGGTGGAGCTCCCTGATTAAAACAAGCTTGGGAGGAGGAATGGCATCCACTTCCATAATAGCTTGCCTCTGGAAACCCTATGAACCTGGAGAGAGGATAAAAGGCAACCAAGCGTCGAGGACTCTCCTTCATAGGGTCGCTATGAGTCGCCTGTGACTCGACGGCACTTAACAACAACAACAACTGTTATCATGATGTTGTTGTTGTCGTTGTTGTGTTGACACTGACTCAGAGCTGATCCTCCAGCCGGCTTTCAGAGGCAGTAAAAATGGCATAGGAGGAGATTGCCCATCCTTCTCCCCTGGAGTAGCTGGTAGATTTGAACTGTGTACTTCTGGTTTGTAAGTGCAATTCCTTACCACCAGAGCTCTCTGTCATCATGACAGTGGGTTTCAAATTGCTTTATAACCTGTAACAACCCACAAGCTAAAAATTTTAAGCCCATTGCCATTGAATTGGAGCCAACTCATCTTCATTTGGTGTCTGAGACAGGAGCTTTTCTCAAATACATACACTGACTATTTTATAAGCTAACAGTTTGATGTGTTTACTCCATTTGTCTTTCTTATGTGGAGAAGTTCTTCATTACCAATTTTTTAATATTAAGAGACTTTTCCTGCTCAGACTTACCCATTTAACCCAAATATTGACACATCACAGGCATAGGACTAATGAGTCAGAAAACACTGGTTCCGTCTTCTAGCTTTTGTTTCAAATGCATTTATTCATAGGTGCTGAGGACTCATGGGGCGCAGTCCACTGCCTTGTTCTTTAATCGATATGGCATCAGAATATTCCTCAAATAGCTGACCTATCAGAGGACAGAATGCACGTAAAGCATCAGGCAAAAGTCTGCACTTCAATATACCAAGCTCCTCACGTTCCATCAAAATTTCAGGGCCTTTTCCCAAAACAAATTTACTCTAAACCATCAGGCAGAATCTTCAAAAATACCATTTCAACTTTTAGTGATAGGATTCTTTACATCCTTAGTGTCCAAAAAGGGAACAGAGCTGTGCGTGTCTGTTCTTTCAAAGCCAGAAAATCACCTGTCACCCTCCCATTTGCTACCTCTCAGTCCCTCATTCTTTGCAGGTGCAGCCTTTAAAGTTCTCTAGTTGGGACCATCAGTCGAGAAGCCAACTGGCAATTCAACCTTGGCCTTGATCCCTCACTAATAGAAGTCTCATTTTCAAATATGGAAAGTGAAATCACTTGGACTGGCTGTGTTGGAGAGAAAGCGTTGACCCTGAGCTCAAAAGACCTGACTTTAATCTTAGCTTAGCTGTGTGAACAGTGTTGAACATTTAACTTCTTTGACCCTGCATGCCAGTTGGAGTAGAAAAATCATTTGCACTGGAAAATCATAATTAATTGCCTTTAAGTCTTTAATTCTATGCCAAGCGCTAAGCAGAGTGTTTTACATATTTTCATCTCAGAACCTGTGAATCGGGCACTGTCATGAAATCTATTCTACAGATGGGAAAATTTAGGGTGCAGAGAGTTTTAATAACCTAAATGAGGCCACATAGCAACTAAGTGATAATGCCAAGAGTCAACCCTAAAACCTCATACTGTATTGTTTCGTGTTACTGCTGTTGGTGATTGTCTTTGAGTCAAGAACAACTCGTAGCGATCCTATGAACAAAAGGCATGAAGCCTTTCTATAACTATCTCCATTTACCAAAGTTCATGGAGTTTCCAGAGGCATGCTGTTTAGGAAGTGGATGCCACGTCACTGTTCTACCATCTAGAATTTTGAGGTAGCTTCCACACTGAAAATGATATACTTTTATAATATATTTCTTCCTTCCAAATGTCAGAGTGGCATGTGTGTGCTGTTAAGTCAGAATTGACCCACAGCTGACCCTCCAGCAGGTTTTCAGAGTCAGTGAATCTTGTGGGAGGAGATCTCCTATCCTTTGCCAGAGAGCAGCTGGTGGATTTGAACCAGTGTTCCTTTGGGATTGCAGTGAAGCTTCTTACCACTAGGCCACTATAGTTCCCTCTCAGAGTGCCATATTTACCTCTAATATAGGATAAGGAGCTCTGGTGGCACAAATGGTTAAGTGTCTGGCTGCTAGCTGGAAAGGTCCTGGTTCAAAACTACCTAGTAGCTTTGAGAGAGAAAGAGTTGATCTGTTTTCATACAGATTAAACGATCGGAAACACTCTGGCTGTTCTGTCGTGTGGGGTTTCTGTGACTCTGAATTGACTTGATGGCATCCCACAACAACAGTGACATAGCGTGAAACATTTAAGGTTTTGTGGTTTGTTTGAGGTTTGTTTTTGGTTTTTTTCTTAAAGGTAGTCATGATAGATTTATTAGAAAGTTACATCCCCAAAAGGATGAACACTTCTCCTTGAAAGGATAAAAGACCAGAATATAAGGTTTTGATGGGAATTATCAAGTACTGGGGCCATGAACTGTGTAGAAAAGCAGAGATCGTGCCTCTATCGATGGTCTTGTGATCATGGGATTGAACAGACAGACACACGTACAATCAGTACCTTGAGTATTGTTCATAAAGTGCTTTGCTTTGCGTTGATCAGTATAAAGATTGTAGCTGTTTGCTGTTGAGTCAGAACCGACTCACAGCTGACCTTCTGGTAGATTTTCAAAGGCATTTACTCACATACGAGCAAATCACCTTACTTCTTCCATGGAGCATCTGGTAGATTCGAACTATGTGGCTTTGGGATTGGAGTGCAGCTTCTTCCCACTGTACCACCAGAGCAGAAGCTCCATAAAATAAAACACAATTTAGTTGTTGACTTTGAGAGATTGAATCACAGATTTCAATCCGTTAAGTATAATCTCTGGAAGTTATGAATTTTCCTGGAAAATGCATATGAAAAATGATCTTTATCTTCGCAGATGATGGTTAGAGAGTCAACAGGCCGCTTTCTGTGCTCTGATTGAGTGTCTGTAATAACAAACCGCAAACCTGTCGCCAAGGAGTGGGACAGGTGATAGATTGCCCAGGATAATGAGCAAGTGGCTGATAGATGTTTTATCTGATTTCTGCAAAACATTTTTTTTTCTGCAAAACATTTTTTTTTCTGTTCTCTTTTTTCCCCCAATTAGAATAAAGAACTGAAAACCAAGGTGGCAGTCTGCTCTGACCTTCGTAGGACGAAAGCATCTAAGGCCGTCTCTACAAGGTAAGTGCTTCCTGCCCCTCTGGCCCTGTCTGCTTTCACAGCTTCTGTTGTATGCACTTGACACTCATTATACTTGAGAAAGTGTCTGATGTGTTAATAGTTGTATGATGTAAGTGTAGTAATTAGTTCTAAATTACTTGTCAAGGCTGGACATTATTCCTGTTTAGATTTTATTGGAAGGTTCTCATTTTCCTGTGGGCCAGGGCAATGACAGGGTTACTGGAAGTGGTTAATTTTGTTCTCTTATCCAGAAAAAAAAAATAGATGTGGATGGTAGGTTGGTCCCAGCCTCCCCATTCTGTATTTGGAGGCTAAACACCACACGTCTGATACATGCTGCCAGTAAAATGGACCTTTACCAGTGGACAAGAAATAGAGTTTGCTTTATTCTTCTCTTTGATGGGGATTTTTCATGACTTGTATTAAATCATTCTCAAGTTTAGCAAAATCAGTGACCTGGTTGTAATTGTTGTTAGTTGCCATCAAGTTGACTGCAACTCTAGCAACACTGTGAACAACAGATTAATACCTGGCCCCATCCTACACCACTGTCACGATTTGTCTGCCTTGTCCAAGTCCATTATCGCAATCATTGTGTCAATCCATTGCATTGAGGGTTTTGCTCTTTTTTCCTCTATCTCCCAGGTGGGAGTCTTTCTCCCAATACTGACCCCTCTCAACAATATGCCCAGAGTATCTGAAATAACGTCTTGCCGTGCCTTCCTCCAAGGAACACCCTTCCTCTGAAACACACTTCTTCTGAAACAGATCTATTTGTTCTTTTGGCAGTCCACGATATATTCACTACTCTTGGTCAACACCACAATTCAAAGGCATCGATTCTCCTTTGGCTTTCCTTATTCATTTTTCAATCTTCAAGTGCTTATGAAAGAATTGATAAATATCATGTTTGTCTCAGGGGCACTTTGTTCAATAGTTCTTGGAGTGTTAAAAGGTAAAGAATCCCAACCCTCCAGTTCCACAGTTTCATATTGACCAGGAATCGCTGGGCCCAATAGTCTGTCTATATTTTAATGAGCACCCTGGGTGATTGGCTGTAGGCAGTCCCTGGGTGGCTTTTTGAAATGTCCTGGCTCTGAGCCTGAGGAGGACTCAGGCGTGTAATTCAGATCCTGAGTGGTAGAGTGGACCAACACAGTGCAAGGTGCCTTTAGAAAATGAAGTGAGATTCTAGCTGAGTTACGTCTACAAGGCTGAAAGAAAAAATGTAATTACATCATGGCCACGATTCTTCCCACGATGACTTCCCAGACACGAGACTCTGAACGATGTAGGCTCACTCACTTCTATCGGGCCACCTCTTGGTCAGCTCCCTTGTAGTTACTTCCTGATAACAGCTGTGCTTTCTGTTGTTGTGGGCAAGTTCTCCCACATCCAATGGGTGCTTCCTCCTCCTGTCTACCATCTACAGGCCCTTGTGCGTTGGGACTTTCAGGGGGTTTGACTATCGAGAAGCCCATGTAGGATACCTTAAGAAGAGGCGAGAATGGGCTCAGGGTATTCTTCTTTATGGGATAATTGTTTGCTGTTTGCATTCCTTGAGAGCTGGCTTAGCTCCTTTCAAGCCCATCTTCTCCCCAGGGCTCTCGTTGGCATTACTGAAGAGCTTTTCTCACTCCCTTCTCTTCTTCACGTCGTAAGGTGGGCCCTGTTATGGAACCATGCATTCATGCTGTATTTCCACATATTTGTAAATCTCCCCTTTGACAGGTTCTTCTAAAACTATTCTAATTGGAATGTTCTCTCTAGTTCCTTATGAGACCCCCATCTTTTTGTTACACCAAGATTCTCAGGAGATTCACACCCATAGTTAATATCTCCTTACTCTTACCTCCTACCTACCCCAACTGGGCTTACCTGAACTCATCCTTCTTGACTCAGCTCTTGAGCTTCATGTCCTCAACAGAGCTGTCCCTGCTCTTGAGAGTGTGTCTGTATCCTGATTATCCACTCTTAAAGTTCCTAGTGTTCTTTGTAACACCTACCATAATTGTGACTAAATGATTACTCACGTAGCTATTTGTTTGCTGTCTGCAAACAAGGATTCTTCCTTGAAACTCTTTGAGGATAATGAAATGCTTTCGTCACGTTCACCGTTAAATCCTCAAAGTCTTACATAGAAATACTGATTAAATGAATGAATAGGTTTAGATACCTCTTACCCCCTTGTTTGTCCCAAAGCAAGTCCAATCTCAACTTGTAACACTTCTTGCAAACTTGACAGATGATCTTTTCTGTTGTCATTGCCCTTCTATGGCTTGTTCCATCAGTGGACATTTTAATCATGAATCTTCTGCAGTTATCTAAATTGCCTTTCTGTGGCTCTCAAATCTAGAAACCCAGGTGGCATAGAAGTTAATCATAGCTACTAAGTTTGAATCCACCGATAGCTATCTGATGGAAAGACCCCCATAAATCCACTTCCATTAAGATTACAGGCTAGAAATCCCCATCGGATCAATTCTACTTGTTGCATGGGGCCACTTTGAGTCAAAGTCAACTTGATAGCACCATCAACAACCCAGTGTCACTCAGAGAAAATGGAAAGTAAATAGCATGAGGGCAGGAATGATTTCCAGCACTTCAAAGCTCAAATATCATTTCCACGATAGTCACTGAAGTTATAACTAAATAAAACATAGAGGTAATTACATATATACTTTTAAAAATTATTTAAAACTCCCTGTCTCTAGAGCTTTTTCATTCTCTAGTGTCTTCCTCTAGGGAAGAATCCCATTTTTTTGAATCTCTCCTGCGTGGAGCCTGAGGGAGAGGAAAGATCTCACTGTGGTTAGTGCCCTCCTAGGTGTTCGAAATCATTTATCTCCCTCTTCCTGACTTCTTGTCATCTGCCTCAATCTTGCTAATATATGTAATTAGAGACTAGAGAGAAAACCATTAAGAACCAAGCCTCTGAAATCTCTGGGCATCCAAATGCTAAGTTATCATTATTTTGGCCACTAGCTTGGAGACTTCAAAACCAGAAAAATAAAAGGAACAACAGAGGTATCCCAGGAGGACGTGAAACACATTTCAGCAGCAGAAAGAGAAGGAGGATTATGGCAGCGAGAGAAGAAGGGACAAGTTTGAGCAAAGAACAAGAAGTTTTCCCAAGGTAGAGAGGGATGCTAATTTCTCCTTTCTTTCCACCCAGTTACCATCCATCCTTGGGCTACTGAGGCACTGTAGATAACCTTGGTGTCTTTGACCTTGGAGGAGATGAGGGCAGAGTGAGGTAGACCAGAGTACAGGTGACTGATTTTCCCTAATTACACAGGTCCACTATTGAATTCTGGCCTCTGCCTGGTGCAGTGGGGTTTATCGGAGAGAATGATTTCTATGACTGCTTCTGTCTTTTCCACTAATTAATAGTCAGAAATCTACAGAAATTAGCAGTCTTCTAAGTGATATAGCACTGGTTTGTCCACTTGCTGTACAGAGGTAACTCATGGTTGCTGTGAAGCTGAACACTGTGACACTGATGTGTCAAATGCGATAACACTTACCCATGCTGGGAAGTGTTTGGTGAAGCTCCCCAATTAAAACAATCTTGGAAGCAGGAGTGGCGCCCACTTCCGAAGTGGCTTGCCTCCGGAAACTCTATGAACTTGGAGAATTGATGAGAGTTATACAAGTGTTCAAGTCTTTCATTCATAGGGTCACTATGAGTTGTCCACGACTCAACGACACTTAAAAACACCACCAAAGGAATTAGTTTGGGTTTAGTATTTCTTTTTTCTTTCTCCTCTATGCCTTAAGAAAGGTCAAAGGGAGAATATTTCATAAGTAAAACTTAAAAACTGGACTGAGTAAATATCCTTCTTCTTCTTATTCTTAATAGAAACATCATTGTAAAGGATATCAAGGTAGCCTTCTCATTTGGAGCATTAAGTATGACCAACTGGGATACAGTATGGTGGGCTTACTCCAGACTCCACTATGTCGAATGGAATTATAATACTAGTGAAGGATCAGAACACAATAGCCATTAAGGCAAAACAAAACAAAACACAACACAACAACACTTTTAAAATAAAAGGTGAATTATCTCTTTAAAAACTCATAAAATATTGTTTTACCTGAGTAGGGGTAAACAGATTTCTTTTTTTAAAAACTAGAGAATTAGAACAGGTATCCTGAGTTGCACACCAGAACAGGTATTTTGCTTGCGATTAGAGGCCATGTTGGTAAAATATGCATACATCCACCTATGTACACACACAAACACACACCGCCTATGTGGTTTTAAGTACTAGAATCACACTTAACTGAGAGAGAAACCGCAAAGCTGACACATTCTCAGGGGAAGATTGTGGATTCAGCATGTGTCTTTACCTCAGATGCTACCTTTGTAGAGCGGAATGAGGCCCAGACTCCATTTTCCCTTCCCACCTGTTCTTAACTCTTGTCCTGTTAAAGCTTGTTAAACAAGCACAAGTCGAACACCTGTGCGATTCAATACGGGAACAGTAAAGCACCCAGCTACTCACTGAAACATCGGCAGTTCAAATCTACCCCAGGACTCCACCGGAGACCCATCATCAATCTGCTCTTTCTAGATGATAGCCTAGGAAATCATATGGGACAGTTCTGCTCAGCCCAATTAGGTTCTTATGTGTCAGATTGACTTGATGGCATACAAAAGCAACTACGACAATGATGTGATGCTATTGTATTTCATGGAGAATTGGTCAGAATAAATTAGATCAACCACAATCACTTAGACCGAAGCAATTCGTTGAGACTTGATAGGATGGTGGTAGCTGAAATGGTCCGTGTAGGAGAACAGCTATTTTATCATTACGACTTAATGTGCTGTTGACTGAGTTTGAAAAGTGTGTTGTCTTTTCTACAGTGAATTGATGACTGAAGGCAACTCCCCTTATCTGATGTTGGTTAGACTACGGAAATGAACTGGATGGAGAAGACTTCGTCGGAAAAAGAGCCTTATGTTGTTCTTGTTTATTCTTTGGAACATGTTCCAGACTTGTATGTTAAATGAATATCAACACATGATGAGCATTCCAGAAACACAACATTTCAGAAAATCGACCAAATATCTACTTGACAGAAGAAAGGATTTCTTTACTAAATGGAGAAGGAAACCAGGAGCTTCTGAATACTGGAAGAGGGATTCTGATTTCTAAAACAATTTTTAACATAAATCTTGGTTTCTGACGTTAGCTGAAGGGACATTTCTAAGACTGTTAGTGGTAAATAGGTGATCGTCCTCATTGTTCAATGGAAGGGTATGTGTATGAGTAAACAATGTATGCTAATCTTTGGGATAATAAGAATTCTTTTACTATGATATAAGTTCATGTCCTGCTGCACTTTTAGTGAGTTATTCTCCACTAAATTATGGGTAGGAGAAAGTAGGGTGTTTTAAAAAGTCTATTTCTCATGATAAATCCCAATTCAAATTTGAGAATTAAGACTGATTTTTCACACATTATTAACCTATCTGCAGTTGTGTTGAAATGGAGACTTGGTTCAGAAAAATAGCTCTATCAACCCATAGATGTAAACTCACAAGAATGAACATGGTGTATTCTGCTTTTGTGACAAAATTTTTCTTATGTTCAACAATAATGACCACTTCAAATAATTGAGGGTAGAATGACAACGTTGCTAGTCTATACTTCTATAAATGTGTCTATACTATGGGTTCAAGTTAGAGGACACTGATTTAGAATCTCATATCCAGGGCTTTTATGACAATGTCCTGAAATTTTGATATGTGCCTTAATTAAGGGTAGAGTTTGTAGTTGGTATGAATGAAAACAAAGTCAAGTTTGTAGAAATTAGAGCTCACTGACACTCAGGATGACAGAACATACTTCTCAAAAATGCATAATAGAATCTTAATTCATGCTCTCTGATGTATAACGTTGCACATTTTCTCAGGAAAGATGCGAAGCAAGCCTTTTAGTGGGCATTGTAAAGTATTAATGTTTTTATCTACAAATTACTTAAAGATATGTATAATTGAGATGTAGTAATGTATTTATAAATTCATCCAAGTACTGTACTCCTAACATATTGTGTGTGTAACTATCATATTTCCAGTTACCTTGTTTTATTGCTTGCTGCTTTTCAAGGTATATATTTCCAATAAGAACATTCAGAGCATACTTTCCCCATGCCAGAAACCCTTCTAAATCCTTTTCCTGTGGTAATTATCATGATTCTCTAACAGCCCTCAGAAGCAGGTGCTATTACTTTCCCCATTTTACAAAGGAGGATGATGACAGAGTAACCTCCCAAACCTTTGACCTCTTGATGTCTAGTTCACCTGCTTTCTTGGTCTGAAGCACTTTGCAGTTACAGAAACGCCTCCTTTTCTTGGAGTTCCTGTTAAGGGTCAATCACCCTGCATTATTTGAATAATTATGATGCTTTAAAAATATATTGGTTCAATTAATTTTTATTAGAATAAAGTATTTGAAAGTAAAAATTGGAAAGACACTGGGTTTCATTTTAAATTTGCGATATTCATTTTTAAATAATGGTTGTATAATTGGATCCAGTATAACTAAGACTTGTTTGTGAAGGGTTTAGATTAACTGTCTATGGAACTGTCTGTGGAATGGTCTATAGCACACAAGAGAATAAGTAGCATTGTTTTTGTTGTGTGCCTCTGAGTTGGAACTAACCCATAGTTGAGTTTTCATAAGCAGTTAATTACTCAGAGGGAGATTATATATTCTTCTTTTGTGGATCATCTGATGGATTCGAGCCCCGTGCCTTTGGGTTTGCAGTGCATCTTCTTACCACTAGGCCACCAGAGCTCACAAAGTAGCAGTAGAAGCCTTGAAAAAGCTGAACTTTTAAAATACAATATCTTGAATGTAGCATCAGCAGCAACATCCTTTGTGTGTCATGTGTAGATTATTTCGTATCTTCTTTTTGTTTCCATTTTTAGATATCATGTTTTTCAATAAAAATCAGAGATAACAAAAGTTTATAATGAGGAATGAAAATTATTAGTCTAAATGTAATTGTACAAGGTTCAAATCCACCAGCTGGCCCACTGGACGAAGATGAGCAATCTCCTCTCATAAAGATTTCCATTCTGGGAGCCTGAAGGATGGTTGCTCTGAGCTGTAATTGACTCAGTGGCAGGGAGTTTGGGTTTTTATTTTGTTCTATTGAGTAATCTCTTGTTTTCATAGAGTCAGTATGAGTCAAAGACACTTAACCACATATTGGATAGGAAAGTCTGAAATATGTCTTGGAATTAATATGTGAAGTTTGGAAAAATGAGAAGAACCAGTTCTGCTTTAATTACACGTTCTATAATTGGGATGAGTGTGTCAGAGGCAGTGCAGTTGGCGCAGGATAGAGCAGGGTTTAGGGCTGTTGTGCATAGGGTCGCTATGAGTCGAAAACGACTCGACGGCACATAACAATAACAACATATTATCACCAAGAAATGATTAGACTAAATAATTGGTCAATCTTTTGCATAAATGTCTGTAATATACTTTACAATAAAGAAAATGGATTAATACTGTGTGAACGTTTTGTGATTTATTTTTACCTTAAATTCATTATTCATAAATATATTTAGTAGTTTTTATTAAAATTGTCAAATATTTCTATTCTTGGTTCTAAAATGAAAGTAGAAGGCAAAATAGAGACTATGCTAGACTGAGTGAGAATAAAAATTCAACATATCAAAGTTTGTGAAATACAGTGAAAGAAATATTTAGAGGGAAGTTTATGGCCTTAAATGAAATACTTATGACTATAAATGCCTGAAAAAATAAAAGTTGCATCATCCTGTAGAGCTAGGATAAAGAAAGAGCAAAGTGAGATTGAAGAAATGAAAAGAGGAAACATAATGAAAATGAGCAGACACTAAGAAAACATAAGACAATAGAGAAAATAAAGCTGAAAGCTAATGCTTAAAAATAATGAACAGAAGTTTTCAAAGTCTAGCTATATTTATGGAGAAAAGAGGAAATATCTTACTAAAATAAAAATGAGATTGCTATTTCAAATCCTAGAGGCATTCAAAGGACAATGTGAATATATCTCTGGCAAGGCCACTAGTCTGAGTTTTTCATACTGTGCTGGCTTGTAGGAGGCTGGAAACCATCCCACTGATATTTCAAATAGCAGCACGGGCGCCAGGTCTCACTGAAGCTGCCACACTAAGACTAGGACGAAGGGTTGACCCATTTGGGGAAAAATGGTCAGTGAAAATGTCACTAACGAGAGTAGGACATTATCTGAGACAGTCAGTGCTGGAAGATAAGCCACTCAGGTTGAAATGCACTCGAAATACAACCACAGCAGAGCTGCCGCTTCAAAGTAGCATCTAACTTAATGACGTGGATAAAATAGAGCTTTGGGGGTATCATCTGTTAATGCAGCGCAAGTCAACATGAGGGGGGAACCAGCTATAAACACCTATTAATGATTTGAATGTGGAATGTATGGCATATGAATGTAGAGAAACCAGAAGTGATCAGCAATACAACATCTGAAAATGATACTCTATGTATTAAGGCAACCTTGTGGTAAGGAGCTTCGCTGCCAACGCAAAGGCACTCAGTTCCAATCCGCCAGTTACCCCATGGGGAAAATATGGACTGTCAATTTACTGCCTCTGAAAACCTACGGTAGGATGAGCTGAATCGGTTCAATCTTGAGGGCAAAAAAACAACATCATCTTATCTGTTAGTAAATGGAAATGCATCAGCGTTGGCTGTTTTGAATTACTCTTATGGTCTCCTCCCTATGAGCCTGGAGAGAGGAAGAAAGACACCCAAGCGTAGAGGACTCTCCTTCATAAGGTCGCTTTGAGTCGCCTGTGACTCGACGGCACTTAACAACAACAACAACAATGGTCTCCTCTGCCAAGAGTAATAAATTGAAGATGAATGGCACATTTACTGTCAAAAAGTATATTTCAATATCTATCCTGAGGTACCGGGAACTTCTCCTTTCCAGAGGCAGCATGGTGGTGTGAGCGCAGGAATAG